TTGCCCCTATTGTAGTTTAATATATAAACCACGTAACGATTTCATGCCTTATAATAGGAGCAAAAGCATGTTAAAAGTGTAACTGATACCAGACTCTGACAAACGTTAGCAGATACGGGTTACATACGCTTCAGGTTACATATGCTTCAGGTTACAGACTCCGCTAACCCAGAAATATTACCTCAGGTTAAGAACTTTGCTTCAGGATGAGAACAGAAATCGTGCTCCGGCGGCGCGGCAGAATCATAGAATTGGAATAGACCACACGGGCCATCGAGTCCAACCCCTGCCAAGCAGGAAACACCATCAGAGCACTCCTGACATATGGTTGTCAAGCCTCTGCTTAAAGACCTCCAAAGAAGGAGACTCCACCACACTCCTTGGCAGCAAATTCCACTGTCGAACAGCTCTTACTGTCAGGAAGTTCTTCCTAATGTTTAGGTGGAATCTTCTTTCTTGTAGTTTGGATCCATTGCTCCGTGTCCGCTTCTCTGGATCAGCAGAAAACAACCTTTCTCCCTCCTCTATGTGACATCCTTTTATATATTTGAACATGGCTATCATATCACCCCTTAACCTCCTCTTCTCCAGGCTAAACATGCCAGCTCCCTTAGCCGTTCCTCATAAGGCATTGTTTCCAGGCCTTTGACCATTTTGGTTGCCCTCCTCTGGACACGTTCCAGTTTGTCAGTGTCCTTCTTGAACTGTGGTGCCCTCAGAAGCGGGAGGCCTCATTAGCTAAAGTGGTGCTTCAGGTTAAGAACAGTTTCAGGTTAAGAACGGACCTCCGGAACGAATTAAGTACTTAACCCGAGGTACCACTGTATTAGATTCTAGCTTAAATACCCTTTTTATACAGAAAGTACATGTGAAAATGTGTAGCTGCCTCTCACACAATATATAGGCACACTCCCAAGTCCTGGATCAAAGCATCATAGAACTACTTCATGCTGCAAAGAACTTTGGACATCATTCCCTAAGCGCGTATGATAAGCCACTTTCATACAACTTATGGTCCACCAGTGCGGGTTTAAATTTTGCAAAGTCAAGAGTGCATGCCTCGGGATAACATAAGGCTCAGGACACTTTTGAAAGTGAGGTGGGTTTCAGAAACGGTTTGTTTCTGAGAGTCTGTTGCTGAAAAGCAGGCGAGTCAAACATCCCTCTCAGTATGCCTGTAGTAGCTCTTTGCATCCTGGCCTAAATTTTTAAAGATTATCTTACCTAAGCTCAGGGAAAGAGAGGGTTTTTTAAAAATCACTTCTTGGTTTCATAGTGAAAGGTGAGTTCCTCTTCTATAATTTTGCACCCTGGAGCAAGTTATTATGTGTCTTGGCCAATCTGAGTTGTCGTCCCCGCCCCTATATTTAGGATCAGAGCATGAACTGTATTGCATTGGGAATTTTTTGGCTTTAACATAGTAATGCGTTAACGTAACACCACCACCCCAAAAAAGGGCTGAGCCTTCCATATGGAGAATACAGCAAATCCAGAAAGGAAATCAGAAAGTTTGCTTCAGAATGAATCTAAAAGAAATAAAGAAGCAAAGGAACAGAAGTATGTGAAGTATGTGTATTTGTATTCCTCTGTCAGTCTAAAGAGCACTTTTATTTTTCAAACAGCCTCTTGGATTCAAAGCAAATGATGGTTTTCTGCTGTGCCACCCTCCTGAGAGACTTGGCTTTTTTATATGCCGATTAACAACGAATTGAGCCATAGAAACACTACTTGAGCTTCAAGGATTTCACCCTTAACTTCTCTGAAAGGTTTTAGCCTGCTAGTGATGTTTTGAAGGCTAAATTTCCCTAATATTTACAGTGCGGGAGTCCTGGTGACACCATGAACTCTAACAGCTCTCTCTTCTCTTCCTTTGAGACTCTTCATAATTTTAATATTACAGCAGCCCATTTTACATGGCGCATTGATACTTTTGTTTTTGAACCTTGTTTGAACAGGGCACCATCAGCAGTTTAGATTTCTGTTGTGCGGATTAATATGCTGCCAGCCCAAAGAGGGCTGGAGACTGCTAACCCATTTCATGAAGGATTCAGGAATGCATAGCCCTTCCATAGGTTTCCCTTCAGGGTTTTTTTTTAAATGAAACCTCTTACCTGTTACCTCCAGCTGCCAGCCTTGCATAGCAGACTTGGGTGGTTCCATTGTACACAGCTGGTGTATTTTATCTGCCCATGTTTCTGGCTAGTGAAATTAGGATAACCTCTGGTTATATAACTGAAAGTGAGCCTATAGTACAAAACACGGTGGCAGTTGTATGATGTCCCATTAAATGCATCCCCATCCTTACATTAAAAGGTGATTTGCAGCTGTGTAATTTTTTTGGTGAGGGGTTATACAGTCGTACCTTGGTTGTCAAACACCTTGGAATTCGGACGTTTTGACTCCTGAACACCGCAAACCTGGAAGTGATTGTTACAGTTTGTGAACTATTTTTGGAAGCCGAATGTCCGACGGGGCTTCTGCGGCTTCCGATTGGCTGCAGGCGCTTCCTGCAGCCAATCAGAAGCTGAGATTTGGTTTTTGAACATTTTGGAAGTCGAACGGACTTCCAGAACGGATTCTGTTCGACTTCCAAGGTACAACTGTTTGTTTTATGTCTTGAAGAGCATCCTAAAACCACATGGTGAAGGGCCAAATATAATCCTATAAATCAATAAATTAAATCAAATAATTTTCTGGGTGGAACACCGTCGATTGAGCTTCCATGTTTTCAGAGAATTTGGTTCACACATTCTGATGTGAGCCATCAAATGTTGAATTACTGTGATGCACAGCATGTGTATGAATCATCTTTGAGAAATGCAAATTGATTCTCAACGAGCCCATTATGCATAAAGGTATTTACATCTCCCAATATATTTCCTCCCTGTTGTGATCTACTCCTCCTCTTATTTCCCTTTCTCTTATTTTCCGTGCTGGGCTGGAGAAATGGGAACCACGACCTAGTTAAATTAAGAGAAAATAAGAGGTTGAGCAAACTTTGTTGCTTCTATCACCTTTGCTTTCCCCAGTAGTTTCCTACGGATGTTAAAAAGTGTGTATAAAGCAGGCATCCATTCATTATTTACCACAATGGTATTTCCACTGTTTAGTCTAAGCATTGAATTTTATTGAAGGAACGATCATCATAATTAACAATTATATACAGTTTTAGAGGGTAAAAAGTGCTTCACATATATTATTATCTCAGTAATTCTTAGTGCATACAGGAGGCAGGTAAATCTACCCAGCATTCTAGATGGCAGCTGAAACTAAAGGATGGTGGTTTTCCTGACGCCATCTATTGAGTGCCCAGTTCTTAACCTGGGACTCAAGTCTCCTGGCCACTCTGCTACATTAGACATCCTTTCACTGCAGTCCTTATTTTTAATAGCTTCCATGCCCAATAATGTTTCACTTTACACCCTTTAGCGATACCATTCCTTTAGGACATTTTAATGGTTTTCTGTTGGACAGGGATGCACCTGTGCTAGCTGCATCACTTAGAATATACCCCAAAGAGCAGCGTGAGAACTGCTTCTCTGTGATGCAGCCTCATGTCATTGTGGTGAGCATCCTTCTGGGCCAACAGCAATTTGGCGAAGATGAGAAAGTGCTCGTGTGGCCATTTGAGTCCATACCACAGGGAAGCAACTTCCTTACTCTTTGACTGCATATGAAGGAGAGCTCAAGGTCTGCTTTACCTGAAGAAGATTGTCAGATAATAATTCCAGTTACTTGTTGCCAATAAGATTTCTATTCATAGTTCTTCCTGTGTAACTTAGGCTAATCATAACAATAACTATTATTATTAAAGGTAAAGGGACCCCTGACCATTAGGTCCAGTCATGGCTGACTCTGGAGTTGCGGTGCTCATCTCGCTCTATTGGCCGAGGGAGCCAGCATACAGCTTCCGGGTCATGTGGCCAGCATGACTAAGCCGCTTCTGGCGAACCAGAGCAGTGCACAGAAACGCCATTTACCTTCCCGCTGGAGCAGTACCTCTTTATCTACTTGCACTTTGACGTGCTTTCGAACTGCTAGGTTGGCAGGAGCAGGGACCGAGCAACAGGAGCTCACCCCGTCACAGGGATTCGAACCGCCGACCTTCTGATCAGCAAGTCCTAGGCTCTGTGGTTTAACCCAGTTACTTGTTGCCAATAAAATTTCTATTCATAGTTCTTCCATGTAACTTAGGCTAATCATAACAATAACTATTATTATTATTAATTTATTTATACCCTACCTTTTTACCAGATGGGTCTCAGGGTGTATTTGTCAACTTCTGCTAATCAGTAGTACAGGTGCTTCTGGTCCAAAAACCTCTAGTGCAGTGCACTGACTTATTATATTGCAATTTGACCTGGGTCCCCCCCCCCCAGCCTTCAGAGGTGAGGCAGGGGGCAATTGGAGAAAGGGCCGACCCAGTGATAGTGCCCCACTTTGGGACACCCTCCCGCAGACAGATCCTAGTGCCGGATTAAAAACTTTTTATTTCTCCAGAATTTTATTACCTTTTGATGTACCAATTAGTGCTTACACTTCCTTTGTTCACGACAATTTAAAAGTAATTTTCAATGCTTTAATTTTACCAGCGTTGTAGTTGGGTTGCTTTTACGACTGTGTGCCTCTTTGAGATGAATTTTAGTTGGAAAGTGACGAATGTGGAGTGTATGTTAAAGATGAAAGGTATATAATGTGATTCCGACGGAACATCAGGAAGAACTTTCTGACAGTAAGAGATGTTTGATAGTGGAATGGTCTCCTTTCCAGAGGTTGCGGGCTCTCCTTCCTTGGAGGCTTTTAAGCAGAGGCCGACGGCCATCTGTCATGGATGCTTTAGTTGAGATTCCTGCATTGAGGGGGGTTGGACTCGATGACTCATCCCTTATTATTCCAACTCCATGATTCTGATTCTATGACTCTATATTCAGTTCAGTATTCTTCTCTTCTGTAATTGCCATAACTAGTGATATTTCGCCTTTTCTCTCTCGTCTTTCCAGTGGGATGGCGTAGGTCCTCTCCCCGACTGTGCAGAACCACCAAAAGGAATTCAGATGCTGTGGTACCCATCCATAGTCAAACCCTACCTCACACTTCTCTCTGAGTGCTCAAATCCAGATACGTTGGAAGGGGCAGCTGGCGCACTACAAAATCTGGCCGCAGGTAGTTGGAAGGTATGAAACCTATGTCTCTGCTTAGTCAAATTCTTAAGTAGCCTGCCATGGGTACATTGAGTTGGTATATGAAAGATGGGTGCAAAACCAGGAATCATTGTTGTTAAAAGGTTTTTTTTAAAAAAAGAAACGCTCACTGTCAATAATAATAATAATAATAATAATAATAATAATTTATTTATATCCCGCCCTCCCCAGCCAAAGCCGGGCTCAGGGCGGCTAACAACCATGTGGTAATGCTCCAGCCACTCACCAGCTCCCTCCCTGTCCTGCAATCCAGCGGGAGCAGGAACGATGGCTGGCAACATATACTTTTTTGCAGGACAAAACAAATCAAAAAGGCAGTTGCTGCCACCACTCCCTTGTATCAGGGCACCAGAAGACTTAACCCAAGGGAGAAGGTTATTATTCCTAGCTACCGGTTGCCCCACCCTGCAAGTTGCTTCCACAAAATGCAGGCAGAAATTCAACAGATTCAGTAGGCGGCTAAGTAGTCAGGCTCTGGATTCAGGCTTTCCCCCAGAATGGCACACAGGACAACAAGAAAGTTCTCTTTTTAAAATTTATTTAAAAAACAAGATTAAGCATACTTAAAAGTAGGCACATCTCTTATACGTTTCAAACAGAAAAAATAAGAACATTATCGAGTATTGCTAGCTAATGTACTTACAAAATGAGAACAAAGGCAAGTTAGAAATGGTTCTAAAGTCCTCAGTTGAATCCGCATCTCAAAGACAGTAGAAATCTTCATCACAAAGACACGAGCAAGACGACTGTCAGCATGGTGGCAAACTGACAGAAGGACATAAAGGCAAACAAGTGATGTGTTTGGCTCCAAGATCTGACTATCTGAACTCTGTGCCTCTACATCAAGGGTCAGCAACCTTTCTCAGCCATGGGCCAGTCCACTGTCCCTCAGACCATGTGGTGGGCCGGACTATATTTTGGAGAGAGAAATGAACAAATTCCTATGCCCCACAAATAACCCAGACATGCATTTTAAATAAAAGCACACATTCTACTTATGTAAAAACACACTGATTTCCAGACCATCTGCGGGCCGGACTTAGAAGGCAATTGGGCCGGATCCGGCCCCCAGGCCTTAGGTTGCCTACCCCTGCTCTACATGAATGGTTAGAAAACAGGCACTGGCCAAAATGATTTCCCCCCTTAATTTGCTCTGCTCACATGTTTGAGTTGAACAAAGCAGTCTGGTTGCAGGGATATCCAGTTCCACTTGGCACTCATTAACATCCTTCCTGACAACTTTAGCAAAAGACCAAGGATAAATGAGAATACATAGGATATGGGGGCCCTTATCTGAGGTTGGAGAACAACCCGAAGCTGCTCCATTGACGTACTGTGAGACAAGGATTGATTCTGCAGAAAATCCTTCCTTGGAACTTAATTAGGTACTGTAACACTGACGTGATTTAATACGTTTGTTTCCATATTATGCCAACATGTTTTATTTATGCTACGAAGCCGTTAATTCAGTGTAGTAATCTATATGGACCAGGTAGTAGAGGACATGATTTATCCTGCCAGAGCTAGCTAAAAATAACCCATATATCAATAAGATGCATGGTTTGTCATGTCCAAGGTAAGCATGTTTGACCAAACAATCACTCTTTGAAATGGGAGGTCAGCAAACAAAATTGGTACAGCTGAGCAGTGAATGAAATAATCTGCTTACCTAGAAAACTTGTATAGAATAAACAGTGGCTCTCTAAGCTTCTTCATTCTACCCTGTCAATTTGCCTCAAATGTGTTTGACCCTGGAGGGAGACTGTTTCCAAGAGAAAAGAAAAGTGCCTAATCCACCTTCTACATCCTTTGCTTAAGCAAAGTCATTTAGTCTACTGCTTGCCCAATGGTGGTGCCTTTTTATCATGTGGAAAATATTTATTCGCAAAAACCTGACTACAAATAGAGCTTTCTCCACACAAATCTTCAGCAAATGCCCTCTCAATAACATCACTTTTTTGGGTGATATACAGCAAACAGTATCCTTGTAAAAATACCCAAGTACACGTGTACACACACACACACACACACACACACACACACACATTACTGTTATGAGTTATCGTGTGTGCCAGACACCTATAACGCTAACAAGTATTAAAAGCTACTCAAGCCAAGCTAGCTTCTTGAGGAGGTAATCACCTGGGTGAGGGGGGCATAAAGAGAACAAAGGAAAGGGGGCTCTGTGCCAGATGTCAAATGGGTGGGGCTCCACCCCATGTTTTAGATCATTAGAAGGACAAAGGCTGAGTTTGATGTGAACCCCTCCTTCAGAGGCTCAGGTTGTATATACAGTGGTACCTCGGGTTACGTACTTAATTTGTTCCGGAGGTCCTTTCTTAACCTGAAACTGTTCTGAACCTGAAGCACCACTTTAGCTAATGGGGCCGCCGCACGATTTCTGTTCTCATCCTGAAGCAAAGTTCTTAACCTGAAGCACTATTTCTGGGTTAGCGGAGTCTGTAACCTGAAGCATATGTAACCTGAAGCGTATGTAACCCAAAGTACCACTGTATGTATGTAAATAGGCCATATGTCATAAAGACACTAATCTCCACTGTGCTTCATTCCCAAAAGCAAACATGAACCCTAGGTAAGCACCTGGGACCCCTGAAATTTTGCATCTGCTGGGAGTTTGGTGTGCAACAATACTGTAGGCTAAAGCAATCTCTCAAAGGCCAAAACAAATCCTGCAGTGTTTCCGAAGAGATCACAGATGAGACGTTGGGAGTCTCTTTCAGGGAGAAGAGTCTAGAACTACCAGATAGCTAACAAAAAAACCTCACAACTTTCCTGTGTCATCTCATCAGGGGTGCTAGCAAGATTTTCTGAGCTCTGTACACTTTATCAGAATTGGGCCTTCTACCCTACCCACAAAAGATAGCACAAATTTGTGTAAAGTTTATATTCCATGCTTTATATCATATGCAGATGCATTCATATTCATGTCCTCTTTTGCAGAAGGGCTGGGTCCCCGATATAGATAGAAATGAACTTAATAATAATAATAATAATAATAATAATAATAATAATAATATCAGGGACCACAGAATGACAGAGAGGTTAGGCTGGCCTCAACCAGAGCCAGAGCTTTTTCAGCTGTGGCTCCGATCTGGTGGAATGCTCTGTCACTAGAGACTAGGGCCCTGCGGGACTTGACATCTTTCCGCAGGGCCTGCAAGACAGAGCTGTTCCACCAGGCCTTTGGTCAGGGCACAGCCTGACTCCCTCCTTTGGCAATCTTCACAGAACTTTAGCCTAATGGTTGCCATCAATTTGAGTTGAATTAATTTTAATGAAATGATTTTAGAATGTTGTATTATTTTATTGTTGTTAGCCACCCTGAGCCCGGCTTCGGCTGGGGAGGGCGGGATATAAATAAAAAATTATTATTGTTATTATAGCTGATACTTTGCCTATCATGGTATTTCCATTTTATATCATACTTAACCTGCTGAATTTCTGCCCGCTGCAGCTGTTAATAACGCAAGTGTCCACCCTCCCCAAGTGCCATTCCTAAGCTATGCAAAGAACCTGAGTTTCATGAGCTTGTTACTGTGACCCAAAAAAAGAGAATTTCACAGCAGAAAATTTGTAACAGTAAAGTTTAATTTGAAACTCCAAAATGATGTACCTATGCTCTTACAAAAGACAGCAATACAGTGGTGCCTCGCAAGACGAAATTAATCCATTCTGTGAAGTCTCTTCGTCTAGCGGTTTTTTCGTCTTGCGAAGCAATCCTATTAGCGGCTTAGCGGCTTAGCAGCTATTAAAGGCTTAGCGGCTTAGCGGCTAAAAGGCTATTAGCAGCTTAGCGGCTTAGAAAAAGGGGGGGAAGCGGGGAAAAATCGCAACACTCGCAAGACGTTTTCGTAGGGAAATTTGTCTTGCGAGGCAGCTCAAAAACGGAAAACCCTTTCGTCTAGCGGGTTTTCCGTCTTGCGAGGCATTCGTCTTGCGGGGGCACCACTGTATATTTCTGCTATTTGCATCCATATGATAATATATTTCTCATTTTGCACTGTTTACGGAGAATGGGGAGGAGTGTTGCAAGGGGGCAGGAGAAGCCCCCAAAGACAATTTAGTGGTTGCAAATAGCTGATGGAGTAGAGGTTATAACTCCCTCCCCTCCCCTTCTCAGAATGGATCCCTCTTTAAGTTGCTGCTGTTTCCCATGCCGTGGATGTAGTTTGCAGTTGCCCACCTTAGATTCTCAGGCTAATTCCTCCAAAGGATAAAGCCTTAGAAACTGAGGTTTTATGATAGCAGTTAAAAACTAAGGGGTATCGTTATGTTGCAGTCTTTTCCTCTTTAATTACCTTGACTCTTCTAAGAAGGGACAGTTCCAATGAAGAGGGGGCATATCGTGATGAGCTGCGATTCTACAGAGCAGTGTCTGCTAGTTATGCCCCACAAATTCCATTATCTATAAATAGTCTCATAGAATTTAATGCAACTTCCATGCATGCCTTTGACAATTTAGCAGCCACTGGAAGCAAAAGAAATGGATTTTGCTTTCTGCCTTACCTCTCTATGAATTGGAGCAAGCTGTTCCCATAGGAATTGCCTTCCTTTTCATGCTGAGCAATTACTTGAACGCTGATGTCAGACTGATTTATGGAGTAACTGGATGATTAAGTATATTGGCAAGCCATCTAATTTTAAAAGGCGCAAAAGACCCTCTTTTGTCTTTTCCCATTTTTATGGTGTCTTTTTTTAAAAAAAAAAAAAATATCCTTCAGTAGATTTGTGGAAGCTTATTGACCTGCAATCTAGAAATGCAAGGATGTTTCTCAATGGCTTTAGGCAAACTGAAAGAATAATCAGGACACACAAGAGTGAATCTATTTCTCAATTCTTGGGGAAGGATGAAGAAGCTGTCTTTCAGCATCTCAGCCTGAATGTGTCCCCGCAGTGCGGACTGCTCAAGATAATTGCTTGCAAATATATCCTAATTGACAGGTTAGGTACCCAGAGATACCTCACATGATTAATAAAGGTGCCTGTATGGTTCAGGTCTTGAAGGCATGAATAAGATTATAGCCTCAATCACAATGACAGTTTGTGGATTCTCTCTGTAGCTTCTCTCCAGGGGGCTAAAGAACTGTTGCTCAATCTGGGGGAAACTCGGGACAGAATTGTTGTTTTACACATTTTGGCCAGTCTTTCGGCTTCACCTGCTTTGGGCAGCAGACCTCCATGCCTTGTCACATACTGCTTTTTACACTCATGTCACTTTCAAAACTCATTTGTCATACAGAATGGAGCCTGCTGTCTGAGAAAGCACAAACACAACATCCATTAGTTGTGTGGTTCTTTTGGATCATGGGGTTTGTGTCACAGGTTTCCTTCAGAGCTACAATTTCCAGAGTGATTTAACAAACATTCCCTCTTCCTAGGGAACAATTGAGAGTTGTGGGGACAATAGGTTGGGGGGGGGGGAGAGAGACTAGGTTATATAATATAATAATAGTATTTATATAGCACTTTTCCTAAGTGGTTCAAACACTTTGCTTATATTAGTCATCCTTACAGCCACCCTGAAACATAGGCCAATATTATTATCATCCTTCAATCCTGGTTTAGGATGAGAATTCTGGTTAGCATTAATCAGTGCCAAAATAATACTTAATGTGGGAGACAATTGAGAAGCATACAATCTCATTGCCCAGTCCGAAGCTTTAGCCATGGATAAGTGATCAGAGGCACATCAACAGTGGGGGGTTTTTTTTTGGGGGGTGCCCTTTCTGAGTTTATTGAAATATAAAAAATAATACATATAAACCATGCCAGAAAAATCACTAGAGCAGGGCAGAAAACAAAGTTTGTTGAACAAGAGACAGTTGCTACACAGGAATACAACATGGCAACCAAATTTTCCAAAATAGCGTTTTCCACATTCAAGTTCGAAACACCTTTGGAGACACGCTACTTGTGTTATTTCCCCTGCAGTAGTCAAAGTCCATGTGTTGTAGGTTTTGTTGTGGTTTCCATTGTTGAGCTATGGAAATCCTGGCTGAAGTTCGTATCCCTTCAGAGTTACTTAGAACAATTTTTTTGTGTTTAATAAACAAAGTTATGGAGAGGCGTTGCTAGAGGATTCAGGTATGTTAGATATTTCTCAATATGCTTCTGTCCAAAATAATGAAACCTGGGGCTCACGTTATTGGCGAAAAAAGTTACATCAACACATTTATGAAGCATAAATTATCTGAATGATTTTTAAATTGGGAACTTTGACTTTTGGATTACCTGTTCAAATCAAAGTGATCAGGAATGGGTCGTTTAAAATCACATCTGGCAGTTCATGAACTTCATTTTCTTCTTCTAAATAGCAGGCGTCATGGTAATTAATGCCTTGCTCTTGCAATCTGTAGAGGGGGGAGCGGGGGCCGTCGCGCGCAACCGAACTCACTTGGCGCGCTGCCGGCTTGTCCTCCTTCAACCCGGGTCGGGCCAGGCCTGCTCACGTCCCGGATCCCCTAGCAGCAGCCGCACGCTCTCCAAAAGCGCAACGCTGCGCGCAACCGCTCGGCCAGCTGGTGCTCTGCGACTCCGCCCTTTCCCCTCCCAGCGCCGGAGGGTTCGCGCGACCGCAGCTGTTCCCTTTCGCAGCGCGCGGGAAACAATTCCAGGCCGATTGCCTTGTGCCGAAAAGCACCGCCTCTCCTTCCAGCTCAGGCCCGGGCCGCCGGCTCCCCGAATGACGTCACGGGGGCGGGGCTTTAATGGTGGTGTGCCGCGAGATTTTTTTCCGGTAAACCAGGTGTGCCGTTGCCCAAAAACGTTTGGGAAACACTGCTGTAGAGCTCCCTTTTCTTTTCGTTCTGCCTCATACAATATTTTGTTACAGTGGTCAGTCTATATCCGCGCTGCCGTACGGAAAGAGAAAGGCCTGCCTATACTGGTAGAATTGCTTCGAATAGATAATGACCGGGTAGTATGTGCGGTTGCAACAGCTTTACGGAATATGGCCTTAGATGTCCGAAATAAAGAGTTAATAGGTAAGTGCTTATATTGTGCTATGTCTTGTTGGAAAACATCGTTCTTATCCCTTTCACCTCAGCATGCTGCCGTCAAATTTGCTTGTGTGTGTGATCCTGAAATGCTACTCTTTGAGAAATAGCTGCTGGGTGTTATTTAGCATTAAAATATTAAATTATTTTCTTCTATATTCAGTTATGCTTTAAAAATAAAAATACAGAAAACATTAGCATGATCTCCTAAGGCTCTAAATGCATGCCCTGACCCAGGATCATTGTTGCCTTGTGTCTCTTCTGACTAGGACCAGAAGTCATTTGCTCAGCCAAACTTTCCCCCTTCTCCCCGACTTAATCCAGTGTGGTTAAATTATCAAAGTTAAGCTTGAAGGTATGAGAAAGTGAAAGAAGTGCATGCCTCTTCTCCCCTCTTCAAAAAACCAGAGTACATTCTCTGGCCCTTTTGTGGATTTCTGTATTTTTATTTTTATTTTAAAATCAAAATCCCAAGACGGTTGAGCCACTAGGAATTAAAGCATTGTTACAGCTACTGAGTTGTCTTAGAAAGAACCATATGCGGTTTTAATATATTTAGACTGAATAGGAGGAGTTTCTACTTGGAATAAAGAACCCTCATGCTTCTGTTGCCTCTCCAGCATATCACGAGAGAACCACTCATGCTATTTTTAGCATAATCTGAAAACTAGGAAGTGAGCATTCTTTATATAGGAAGCATACTGAAAATCTGTTCTTGCTTTTATTGAATGATAATTGGCTCATCAGTAATTTGGTTGCTTATAAAATGGCCAAGTTCACTGGCTGCCTGTTGAGTTTTGTTAATTCTACTCTTTGGTAATAGAAACGGTGCAAGTTTTACTCTTGAATTGGAATGTTTTATCCCAGCTGTGGTTACCATTTATTTCATGTGTATGATTCCTTCTGTTGTTCCTATTCTGACTATGGTCACCTCACTTTGAAATTTTTCATACTGTTGCTTTGTTTGGTGAGTGTGTGCTACACAAGCCATTGAGTTATGCTCACCTGCTGTTCACAATAGTTGAGAAGGGACTGCAAAGAATTCAAGACATACAGTCTGAAAAACAAAAACAAATGCTAGCTCTGTCAGGAGATACCATATGCAGCAATCTGGGTTTTATTCATGCAGCGTGGCTCAAGATAAAATGGTTGTGCAGGTGGAGTACAAATTGTATCCTAGGTACTGTCCACGGTATGTAATGTGGAAGAAAACCAGGCAATGCTGAATGTCACAGTGTCTGCCAGCTATGTTCTGCAGGGAAAAGACTGGTAAAGACTTGAGGTGTAGCAGGGCAGTCAAAATGACATTTGTGTCCAAAAGCCATTTTTACTTCAATAATAATAATAATAATAATAATAATAATAATAATAATTTTTATTTATACCCGGCCCTCCCCAGCCAAGGCCAGGCTCAGGGAGGCTAACAAGCAATAATAAAAACAAGTTGAATGAATACAACTTAAAACATTAAAACATTAAAATTTTGAAATATTAAAATATTAAAATGCAGCCTCATCACAAGAGGAGAAAGGAAAAGAAAGAGAGGGAGGGAATCAAATTGGCTCCAAGCCAAAGGCCAGACGGAACAACTCTGTCTTACAGCCCTGCGGAAAGAAATCAGATCCTGCAGGGCCCTGGTCTCATGAGACAGAGCGTTCCACCAGGCCGGAGCCAGAGTTGAAAAGGCCCTGGCTCTGGTTGAAGCCAATCTAACTTCCTTAGGGCCCAGGGACCTCTAGGGTGTTGCTGTGTATGGACTTTGAGGCTCTCCATGGGGCATACCGGGAGAGGCGGTCCCGTAGGTACAAGGGTCCTAGGCTGTGAAGTCTCTCACCACCTAGCCAGTAGTCAACTGATTCAACGTGAGACATGAGGTTATTCTTTTTTAACCACGCCATACAAAATGCTTATTCTAGTCACTTTTCATTGGGCCCATGTCCATTTTCTAAACTTTATCATTTGAGTTGGCTGCTTTGAAGCATTCTTTGCTGGCCACCACAACAAAACGCAAAGTGTTTTCTGGGAGCAAATTCTCCACTCATTCTTTAAAGGTGGTTTCTCTGTCCTCACATTTATGGCATGAAAGGCTGCCTTGACTGCCAGTTGACTGGTTTTAATTCTCCAGTGGATAAATATATATTCAGAGGGCCATTGGTCTATCATCTTCAGTCATGTTGGCTACAGTTTAGAAAGGGGAGAATATTAAAGAGTAAAGGAGCTCACAGAAGGCTTTTCAGAGTTGCTTCAGATGCTGCTTTCCCCATCTCACATTTTTAAGATGTGAAACCTGATCTTTATGTGTCAATCATCCCTTTATCACTCAGCGGCTTGCAGCCTCAAGTGGAGACCCACCTATCCATGAAAAGACATTACAGATCAATCACCATATAGAGAACTTGCATAGTGCCTCACATTGTTTGAAACACAGTGCTTTTCAGTAGAAGCAATTCACACATTTAGCCTTAATATATACACAGACAACTCATTTTGTGACAAAAGGTGGGGAATCACATCACTGAATGATTTCCTCCAGAGCTCTTCAGAGTACAAAGGAGCTGATTCAGTTCCAAAACACCAAAGAAGATGATCAGGAGTGATCATGTCATTCCATAGCAAGACCAGGGCTTTGACGGGATCACCAACTTTCTCCACTGGAAAATCCCCCAGAGCATTCAGGAACACATCCAGTTCCATTGGTTTCCGAGGGTGGGCCATCCGAACAGGCCCTCCACCCTTACTGGGGCAAACTGCCACTGCCTCCTTCTTCCTTTCCTAATATCGCTTTGCACCTCTGCTCCCACCACTGCTTCCAGGAAAGAAAGCGCCTCACACGCAACTTCCTGAGATGGAAGCAGCCGGTGCTTCTCCTTGTTTCAGTCCCTTTATTCCCTAAGAGGGGGAGGAAGAGGTGGGAGCCGCAATAACAGCAGCAGAACATCCAGCCAGTGACTATGTAATTCACTGGTATGCTATTGCTACATGTACGTGAGAAAGCGAGCTCAAGAGTGTTCTCTTAATGCACATTTGTGTGTGTTGGGACACAGGAGTTCCACATTCAGATACCTTCTTCGCTGTATAGCCAAGCAAAATTCCTTGGGCAAATAATGTCATTTTAACTTACACCATTGCATCTAAAGCCTAGCGAACCCTTTATGGTAAACAAAAATATAAGCACCAATAGTCGAGAACAGCTGCTTCAAGTGACCTGCGATTCTCAACGCACCATCTTAGGAGTACAATAAGATAAAATGTGTTGTTGAGCCACCGCATAAACTCTCTATAGGTATTAAGTCTCCTGGTGTTAAAGCTATTATCGTATGTTATACAGAGTTCCAAGGGGGGCAGGAGGGGTGGGTGGGATATCTCAGTCTCTCTTGTGAGTCACTAAGAATCCGAAGTACAAAGTACATCTTAAGCAAAGCCTTTTGAGATGATGGTTCTAAGGATGGATTTCAGTACTTTATCCACTGTAGTGAAATGCTTTCTGTTGCTGTGGGACTGAATAGGTATTTGCTTTGCTTTTTTTTTTTTTTTTACTAAAGAGCTCAGCCTCTTCCTAGGGATATTGAAATTCCTCTTATTCACTCCCCGCATCCACCCCCCAGTCTAAGCATCTCACATTCACCAGGACTTCTCTGATAAGCTGCCCTCAGCTTCCATAAACTTCAAAGGCAAAGGAAAAATGATTACAGGGAGAGAGAAAAAGAACTGCACCTTGAGTTCACACTTCAAATGAGAGAGAAAATTGATTAAGAATGGGAGATTAGCTTAGTTTTTGATCTGCTCCACATTACAATTAGGCATTTCTTGTTCCCCATGCCTTATTTTATTATTATAACATTTATTTCAATACCAAGTCATAAGTAATTACTGTCCAAATACTATCAGTAAGGAGTTCCCAAAAATATTTTTAGATGTGCCCACTTAGGAACCCTGCGGGATTTGTTTTTTAAGGACATCTAAATCTAGTGGACATGCTCAATTCCATAACATCGGGACTTATCCATGCTTAACTTTTGCCCTGTGCTTTCTAGGCGCAGCTCTGCACTTTAAAGTTCTGTGTCTGAGCGCTTTCTTTGTTTTCCCCACTGCTCTCCCCAGGAAACCCCACTCTTTAAAACTGAATCGGAACAAACAGCAATTCAGGTTTTCCTGAAGTGGCAGATTGCTATTTTCTCCAATTCAGCTGTAAAGAGTGGGTTTTTGTGGAAGTCTGGGTAAGCCCTTAGTTAAATTTTTATGCAGGCCTTCCTTTTGTTTTTTCTGAACCTGCTGCTCATCAGCTTGATTGGAGAAGGGCAATCTCTCTGACATTCTCAAATGATTCATAATTTTATAACCCTATTATCATAGCCCTTCAAGAAAAATTAAAAGCCCTGCCTTGCAAGGAAGTCACTCCAACCCATTGAATCGCTTTAGTTGTGCTTTCCTGTACCTTTTCCAGACCTGTATGCAATATTCCAAATGTTGCTTCATCATCACTTGGCATTATGAGACAGGCTGTTTCACTCCCCATCTCCCTCCAAATAACTCCTAACATTGGATTTGCTCCCCCCGCCCCACTATGTATAACAAGTTGGCATTTTCAGGGAGTTGTCCACCATAGTACAAAGACATTTTTCCAGGGCAATCACAACCCATTCAGAGTTACATATGGGAAGTTAGCACACAAACACAAAATGTATGCATAGCATAGCACTTACACTAATTCTCAGTTGCTACTTTATTGCTGTTTGCTTGATTGCCATTTCCCAAGGGTGGACTTTGGTAATCTTTTGTCATATGGAGCCCTGGGCAAGGCAAAAATTTGGCACCCCCAAATGGAGCTTCTCAATTATGGAGCGTCTCAGTTTTGTGCTGCCTTGGCTGCATTCCCCCACTTTGAAGAGTTGGTTTGGGGGCCCTTCCCAGCCTGCTTGGGTGTTCAGCATCCTGGCAAATCAGGTGCCATCCACAAACATGGCTATGTCACTGCTCAGCCCTGACACCAGATTCTTTTATGAGTAAGTTAAATTGCACCAGTCCTAATACACATCCTTAGGCAGTGGAGGCTGGTCCATTAGAGAAAATGAATCACCAACCTATATTCTTTAGCAAAACACTAACTGTAGATGTCATTGCATTAACCTGTCAAAGGCCTTTTCCATTTTCAGGATATCTGTATACTAGGGAGATTACCTAAATGAAATCTTTAAATTGTGCAGAATGGAGGAGGTCTACATGGGCTCCCCATTCCTTCCGTTGTCTGTGCATTCAGCATGCAGAAGGCTGAGGAAAGCAAGATTTTATTGAGTCCCAAGGAACTCCTCCAGGAGTACACCACCTGTGCTAGGACTATATCAAGCCCTAAATGGTTTTGATTTTAATTTATGCAAGGCAGCCAAGCAGCATAAAACTGCAACGTGGTCTCCGTGCACAGTTGTTTTCCACCAAAGACAAATTAATCATGCTAATGGTCCCACGCATAATTTCCATGGAAGCAAATTAAGAAATGTGTGATCACTATACCATGGCCTTATCCTGTAACCCGCTCCCACCTTCCCTCCCCAAGTCTTCAGAGGCTTAGCTTAAAAAGATACTTCCGCACTGAGATTTGCTTTTATAAGCAAACGTTTTCATCTTATCTTATTACAAGGTTTTTTTCATGTTTCCTCCTCAGTGAATTGGGAATTTGTACATGCCAAAACATATGTTTTTAAATAGCAGGAAGCTTTTCATCTCTTCCCATAACATTAGGGTTGTGTCGTGACCCAGGGCTCAGATCAGTCTGCCCCAGACAAGGAAGATGATTTCATTTCTGAAGTGGTTCTTGATGTCCCCTACTTCTTCAGAATCCCCATCATCAGAAAAGACCATAAGCCACCAGCCACTCGCTTTGGTTTAAGGAGGTCCCATTACTGCCCCACGTTCTGCCTGCTGCTAAATAGCCCATGTACTGGCAAACACTTGTAAATTTTTACCCACTTCTGAGATAATGCTGCAGAGATTGAAACTTTTCAGCTCTGTTTAATCAGTCTGTGGATGTTGCAGGCGCAAGGCTTCCTCTCTTGCCCTTCTCAGCATGTGACAGATATATTTTCATTTAGTTTGTGCCGATTACCAGCTGCAGCTGTTGCGGTGCCATGTGCAGAACTCAAAGCCAATTGGCTTTTTCCATGCTACTGCAAGAGTAGTTTCTGGAGAATTAGTAGTGCCATGCTAAAAGCCCACAGAGAGTACTGCATGTGGCATCAGCATGCCCTCAACTAGCTCATCGCATCACACCGTGGCCAAAAATAGGCATGGATTGATTTAAATCTGCAGCTGCCTGAGAAGTTCATGAGATAATAGGCTCTCTGTGGCACATCTACAGAAGCTGTTGTAGATTGAAGCTTCTCCCTGTACTTCAGGGAATGCATTTATTTTTTGATAAAATGCTGGAAGTTGGTCGGTGGAATTGTGATGCTCAATGATGCTTGTGAAATCATCCAGTGGCCATTGACACATTTTTTAAAACACTCTTTGATTTGTACCAGACAGATTTACTGACGGTATTTTGTCACCAAGTAGGTCTAAGGACCACAATCCTTAGCTAACCTGCATGGAAATTAAGTGCAATTCAATTTGATAGGTGTTTCTTTCAAGGAAGCAATCTTTGGTGGAAAGGAAATGTACAAATCTTCCATCCAGTTAAAGACTTCAATCCAGCCCCAATCTTTGTCAGATCAAGTGGTTCGCTTAGAGCTTTCCATGGTGCTGAAACTACCAGCTTGCCTTTCTTTTTCATGGGACTCGTGTCAAGGTCAGGATATGACAAGACAAGCTAGATCAACATATTAAGTCATGAAACTTTGGGCAATTTTACCTAATCATATTGCTATCAGCTCTTGTAGCATTCAACCAGTTGTTTGTTTTTAAATTGATTCTCTGTTGAGATTATTGGGAAAATGCGACAGATTGAGAAGAAAAGGTTCACACAAGTCCATACAAATAGAATGCCAGTAATGTTTCTATATTGCAATATCGCCTGCATTTATTCACAGTGAAGAAAAAAAGCCACATCAATCCCACATTACCAGAATAGCAAGTTTACTTCTGAAACCAAAGATATAATCCATTAGAGTTGTGTCCACATTTTAAGAGTAAAACCACTTAGTTGCTCTTTGAGACCATTTATGAACCCCCTTCACTTTTTCTACAACATTATTTGCTGCTCTCCCCCCCCCCTTTCCCAGCCTCTGTCCTCTTACCTAGAACCTCAGCCAACCTCAACCAATTTCTCCCTGGTTGCCTCATATATAGCAGAAGAGCTGTTTACACGTTTCTTTAGAACTTATGCATTATTGTATTTCAAATGCACATCAGGAATCACCTGTATACCCTGATCCTTACAAAACATTCAATACTAGCTAGATAATTAGTGTCTGGAGGTCACTGACTGTGATACGAACATAACGATTTTGCGATACCTTTTCTTCCCACCTGTTGACACATCTGCAGAGCCGAAATGGGTCTGTGATCTTTCTTCATAGCCTCAATTTGTTACCATAATACAGATTGTATCTAGAAAGAGAGAGATATGTACTGGGAGAGATAATAAAGGCCTTCTGCGCTGTATTTTTTTGTGGGCTTTTAACCAGCCAAAACAGAACAAAGAAGAAGCTGGTTGGAAATTACAGTGCATTTAAAACATTGTTTGCTACACTGACATTTCAGTTGAAATTAAATGTTGTCTGATCAAGAACCATTGGGGGGGCTGGCTTTCCTACATTATGACCCTACCAATAATTAAAAGCAAAAGCCATTTAAAATACTGTGCATTCCCAATCAGGCTCTGAAATGCCATTATTATTTTGAACTAGAATAAGGAAGCATTCTATAGGCACAAGCAAGGATCGACCAGCAAGATGATGCTAGGTTTTAGAAAAAAAGAATTATACTGCAGAATTTATGCTACCAGTATTGTAGCCAACTTAGCTATGAGAACACTAGTAGGCACTTTGATAAGGCAAGCAGAGAGCTTTGTAAAAGCACCGGGTTTTGTTTTTTTTGGTATGTAATAGCTTCTCTGTATCTATGGCCCTTTCATATATTTCCTATTCATTCATTCATTCATTCATTCATTCATTCTCTATTTCCCCTTGCATGTAATGCACGAAAAGTACTTCTTCATGAAGCAAATACCGTATTTTTCGCTCTATAAGACGCACTTTCCCCCTCCTAAAAAGTAAGGGGAAATGTGTGTGCGTCTTATGGAGCGAATGCAGGCTGCGCAGCTTTCGCTGAAGCCAGGAGAGCAAGAGGGATTGGTGCGCACCGATCCCTCTTGCTCTTCTGGCTTTAGGAATAGCCTCCCGAAGCCTCCTGAGCAGTGCTCCTGCTGCGCTCAGGAGGCTCTGCGTTGCTTTCGCTGAAGCCAGGAGAGCAAGAGGGATCGATCTCTCTTGCTCTCCTGGCTTCGCTTTGCTGGAGAGCCGCTGCACAGCTTTCCCTCTCTGCGCAGCGCCCCTTCAGCCAAGCGGCAGAAGAAACGGAGCCCCTTCCATTTCTCCTCCCGCTTTGCCGGAGAGGCGTTGCGCAGAGAGAGAGAGAACTTTTTTTTCTTTGTTCTCCTCCTCTAGAACTAGGTGTGTCTTATGAGCGGGTGCGTCTTATAGAGCGAAAAATGTGGTAGTCGAACTATGGAATTGGCTCCATCAGGAGGCAGTGATGACCACCACCTTGGGTAGCTTTAAAAAGAGGATTTAGACAGATTCATGAAGAATGACGCCATCAATGCCTATTAACTAGGATGGCTGGGTTCTACCTTCCCTGTCTGAAGCCTCTGAATGCCAGCTCCTGTGAATCACCAGGGGTGAGAGTGCCGCTGTGCCCAGTTGCTGCTTTGGGGCTTCCCATTGACATCTGGCTGGCTGGTAGTGTGAGATCAGAATGCTGGACTCGATGGGCCATTGGCCTGATCCAGCAGACACTTACATTCTAAAGGTCACTTACTTTCTAGTTGGACCGTAATTTGTAAAAACTGCCAACTTGTTTCCCCCCTCCTCTTTAACAGGAAATAGAACTTTTCTCTAGTATTCTTCTCCCAAAGGCAGCTGTAAGTCAGTGTCACCTTCAGTTCTTGCTTTTTTAAAAAAGTTATAATCTGGGTGAGTGGGTAGCAGAACTTAATAGCCGTGGGAGAGACGGTGTCCTGGAAAATGTACTGCAGATTCTAATCCATACATGCAATTACTTTTTGTTCACCTTTTCCTACAAAGTGCAACAGATTTTAGTGTCTTGACAAACAAGAATGAGGGACAATACAAGGCTGACGCTGACACACACACCCCCCAAAAAATACAGTGAAATAATGGTAGTGTTGGATAACTTCATTTTCTACCATCAGAAATCCCCATCTCTCCAACTGCATTCTGTCCTGTAAATGCTACCCTGGGGTTACATTTCTAATTCCTCCTTGCTTTTTCCCCATTAAACCTATGCAGATAAAGGAGCTTTCCTGAATGTCACCCAGACTTAAATTTAAACAAATCCTTCTGGAATGTGTTGAGTCATCGGGCCCTAAATTGCTGAAAGTATGCATTCGTTTGCAGAGGACAGGAATATTTACCTTAAAATTAACTATGGCTTTGATTCATGCAGTGCTCAATACCCATCCCTGCCCGGCCAAAATAATAAACAGTGCTATCAGCTCTTGACGGAAAAATATGGTCCATCAGGAGAAAGAACGATGAAGGCGATGTCTGAGTACCCTCCCCTCCCAGTCATGTCATCATCCAGCCACAGGTTGTCAGACCTGATAATACAGATTATTTGCTTGGCTGTGCAAGATTCCAGTGTATGATCCTTACGTCCAGGATGCAATGTGACCCTCTTCTGCAGTGGCCATTTTTAATCCCAATTCCTCTTACTGAATAGAGGTCATGTGTTAGCTTACGTAATTTCTCCAATGTAACTCTACTGCAGTTTCACAAACTTAAGGAAATCTATTCCTTCGTCGTTGCTTAAAGCAGTTTTGAGCTTCTCTAAACCTTATCATCCAGAATGGCAAGAAGTCTCTTATATCTTCACATGTTCCTGATGAGCTCAGCACTCAGGACTGAGATGCTGTTGTTGTTTAGTCGTTTAGTGGTGTCCGACTCTTCGTGAGCCAATGGACCAGAGCATGTCAGGCACTCCTGTCTTGGACTGCCTCCCACAGTTTGGTCAAACTCATGCTGGTAGCTTCGAGAACACTGTCCAACCAACTCATTGTCTCTGTCGTCCCCTTCTCCTTGTGCCCTCCATCTTTCCCAACATCAGGGTCTTTTCCAGGGAGTCTTCTCTTCTCATGGACTGAGATTACAGTTCATCTAATCTTGGAATCCTGCCTATATCAAGGTTTTACAATATCTCCAGTGGACACAACCACACACAAGTTCTGTGTGCTACGTCCCTGCTAAAACCAGCTTTCCTCCTAAGGTAGTTTCCCTCACCCCTCAGCCCTTCATTCCTTCTTCGAGGAAGTGTTCGCATGACACACCTACACACTGCAGCCCACACACTAGCGTGTCACGGCACACAATTTGGAAAGCTCTGCACTAGCCAAAGCAAAACATGTTTGGAATCTCCCACATGCTAAATTAATTGTGCTTCTTTCCCATATCTGCCCCAGTCCAGCAAGGAAGACCCATATGCCGAAGCAGGCTGCCACTTGTACTGCATATGAGCATAAAGACAGACATCAGACCACATCTGCCTTGCAATTATAATTCAAGACCAATTGAACTGTTGGGACAAATATTTAAAATGGATGTGTACCTCCATCTGAGCTTGCTCATTGTTGCATAAGACCAATTGCAAATGGCCAGAGCTGGATCAAGCCATAGCTTTTAAAATAGTTTTTACCACTAAAACCTGCTAGGATAGTGGTACTGAGAGCTACCAGCTGTGGAATCCATTCTTGCCTTTCTAGGGGCTACAGATTCTAAGGGGACAGCAATATTGGATAAACCCAGGTTAAACCACCAGCCCCTGGAAAGTTCCTTCAATAATTGCTTTTTGTTACTGTTTTGCCTTTGGTGTGTTTTATGTATATGTTTGTGTGTGTGTGTGTGTGTGTGTGTGTATAATTGCTTTAGCATTTCAAATTGTAAGGCAACAGGAGTATATTGGCAAAAAGGTAGTATATAATTGTAATAAATGTGTGAATACTGTAGGGGGCATTTCTTGAAACTGGGGATTAGCAGGTTATTGGGGGTTTAACAGATTATCTGTTTTTAGTAATATTGTTCGGTTTATTACGAGTCGCAGTCTGTTTCATGCACTTCAGACGTAGTCTTTCAAAGGTGTACTTCTGCTGCAGGGATAAATTGGTATGCCGCTGCTTCTGATGCTTGCGATAGGAATCTGTGGCTTATAAATATTTGAAGTAAAATAAATATTTCATTTCCCCAACCCTGGATAATCTGTATTTCATAATTGGGGGAAAGCAATTATTTCCACAGATGGCACATTCATTGCTTTGTGATGTGTGAGATATAGTTATGAGGATATTGTCTGTTGTGTGAACTACGCTGTCCCTCTCTCTCACCCTACTATTACTTTGTGGTTTTTTAAATTTTGTGTGTTTGTTTTTAACACTTTGATGACATATTGTGTGTGACTCCTGCACAAAATGGCTCATGTAGCCTCATCCATAGGGGGCTAGCCCTCCTCCATCCATTATATATAGACAATATATTGTGTGTGAATGGGATTTGCAGGACTAATGAGCATATAGGCTAAAATATGGTTGCTAACAGCTGATAATATAGATACTGGGGTGGGGGAACAGTCGCCTGAACTCATGCTAGCTTGCAAGCAAAGCACATAGCTCAGGAGAAGTCATGGAATTATTAACCCTTACCCTGTGCTGCGGGACGTGGGTGGTGCTGTGGGTTAAACTACAGAGCCTAGGACTTGCCGATCAGAAGGTTGGAGGTTCGAATCCCCATGACGGGGTGAGCTCCCGTTGCTCGGTCCCTGCTCCTGCCAACCTAGCAGTTCGAAAGCACGTCAAAGTGCAAGTAGATAAATAGGTACCACTCCGGCGGGAAGGTAAACAGCGTTTCCGTGCGCTGCTCTGGTTCACCAGAAGCGGCTTAGTCATGCTGGCCACATGACCCAGAAGCTGTACGCCGGCTCTCTCAGCCAATAAAGCGAAATGAGCACCGCAACCCCAGAGTCAGTCACGACTGGACCTAGTGGTCAGGGGTCCCTTTACCTTTACTTTACCTTTAACCCTGTACTGCAGATTTTCTTTTCTATTTGCCCCTCCTTTCTTTGCTTCCGATATGTGACTCCTCCCTCCATTTAATTTCTTTCCAAAAGGCAAGTATGCTATGCGGGACCTGGTTCACCGGCTTCCAGGAGGTAACAACAGCAACAGTTCAGGAAGCAAGGCCATGTCTGATGATACCGTCACTGCTATTTGTTGCACCTTGCATGAAGTCATCACGAAAAACATGGAGAATGCCAAGGCCTTACGGGACGCAGGAGGAATCGAGAAGCTTGTTGGCATTTCCAAGAGTAAAGGAGACAAGTACGTTTTGCAAATCATCTCGTGCCTATTAGCTATAATTTAATTAGTGCTTGTCTGCACTAATGATTTCCTGGAGAACTGTCGTTTATCATGTGTTAGTAAGCTTGACAGTTGATGAGGAAAGGGTGGGGGGGTAGTAGGTGGATAATTTCATATCAAAGCAGCTGACTGTTGTCATCTGAGGCATGTTATTTATCAAGAGTAGCTTATAGTTTAGCCTATATCTGCACTCGCTAGTATTACATGAAGTGATTATAATTGCTAGTATGGGAACAAATTTATTGTTTAGAAAGTACATTCTCAATTAATTGCAGTTGTTGTTTCTCAAGAGTGCATTCCCACCATAGATTATAAAAGAGAAAAGAGGGTTATGCCAGGTACTGGAGTCAGGTACAAATCCCAGTAATGGAAAAGCATAGGTTATTTTCAAAGGAAATTTGAAAGACCCAAGTCCACCATACCTCTCATAAAGTGCTGACTGAATTTACGATTATCAGCTGCTTCCTTGAGATTCCAATTACTCCTAAGTATGTTTCCTCTTCCCTTTTTCTTTCTTTTTTCTTCAACAGGCACTCACCAAAAGTAGTGAAGGCAGCATCTCAGGTCTTAAATAGCATGTGGCAGTACAGAGACCTGAGAAGTCTCTACAAGAAGGTAAGATTTATTTAAATTCTTAAAATTAGTATCTCTTGGGGTGGGGTGGGGGTGCGTTTTAGAGCAAAATCAGCAATGAGCCAAATATTGGAAATGTTGGTGTAAATACAAGTTTCTGCCTACTTTTGCCCACTGTGTATGACTGATCATGCAAGAGGCACCATTTCAAATTTCACTGGGGGATGTGGGGCAAAACATTTCCAGTAGGGGAAGGATATTTCGCTAAGGTCCGAAGACTGGTTCTCTGATACGTTTGAAGGTCAGTTATATGAGAAGCAGTATATCTTTAAACCATTTATTTCACTAGCCAGAATGGCTGTGTTCAGCCTCTACCTTTGGAGGGGAGGGTGCCATTGCATTCGGGTCCTGATTTTGGGTATCACATTGGCCACTACGGATGGAATTTTAGGTCTGATCCAGTTAGGCTGCCCTTATGGTCCTACATTCTTACAATGTTATAACCACGGAACTGTCACTCTTGTAGAAAAGAGAGGTCAAGGAGGAAAGAGCCTTTGCTGTCCCTGCCTAGTGCACAGGCCCATTTAATAAATAAGTACCATACAGTCAGGGACCGAGCAATGAATAGCTCAGTCAGTAGAGCATGAGACTCTTAAGGTCGTGGGTCCATGTTGGGCAAAAGATTCAAACATTGCAAGGGGTTGGAGTAGATGGGATCCCCCCCCCTCAGGGTCCCTTCCAACTCTACAAGTCTGCGATTCTGTTGTCCGTACAACCAGTGAGTTGGCCAGGTTATGGGCACTCCTGAGAGACAAATACCGTATTTTTCGCTCCATAAGACACACTTTTTTCCTCCTAAAAAGTAAGGGGAAATGTCTGTGCATCTTACGGAGCGAATGCACTGGGCGGCAGAGGGATCCCTCGGTTACCACTGCAGTTGCAAGCTGTGGGATGCCTCCGCAGCCGGAGCCATGGCTCCCGTCCGTCGCTTGCTGTGAAGCCATCAGAGCAAGAAGCGTTGCGCTGCTATCACTCTTGCTGTGCTGACTTCAGCAAGAGCGGTAGCTGTGCAGCTTGCTCTGCTGGCTTCACAGCGAAGCGGGATGAGGGACAGACGGGAGCAAGCAAAGCGAGAGTCGCTTACATGGCTTCTGTCCCGCTTTGCACAGCTCTCACTTTGCTTGTCCATCCCTCCTCCCGCCTCGCTGTAAAGCAAGCAAAGCACCTGTCCCAGTGTCTCCTCCTCCTCCTCTTCTTGCTCCGGCATCACTGCGCTTTACAATGAGGTGGAAGGAGGGAAGGGCAAGCAAAGGGAGAGCCACGCAAAGCAGGAGAGAAGCTATGTAAGCGGCTCTCACTTCGCTTGCTTTAAAGCAAGAAAAGCGAGAGCCGCTTACATGCTCTGCACAGAATTATTATTTTTCTTGCTTTCCCCCCTCTAAAAACTAGGTGCGTCTTATGGTCAGGTGCGTCTTATGGAGCGAAAAATACGGTGCATATTATTGTCCTAAGTGGCTTAGAACTCATATATTTGCTCGGATAAATTCATAAAGCACATGCTACATGGATAGAAACTTTTCAGGTAGTCCAATCAGAAGCAGCAGCAAGCCATTTTGGGGGAGGCATCATCCGTTAGCAACTTCTAACAGTTTTAAGTGCTATGCTCCTTTACATATTTTGCCTACAGGCATTTCTTTAAAACCATTCAGAAGTGGAGGAGGGTCCCCTGTAGGACCCTCTTTTATCTGCCACCCCAGTTTCCGGGGTTGGGGGGGCAAGCTATGAAAATGTCTCCACTCACGGTTTTGCCGGCAGGCTGTTTTAAGAGCCTCAGATTGGCTCAGAAAATGGTAAGAATTGTTTACAGGGCTTTTTCTTAATAGTTCAATTTCTTACCAAGTCCATCAGAGGTGAGTGGGGCCAAGCATTCTTCCCATCTCTAAATAAGACCAAGCAGTTGTCTAATAATCTGCACAATAAAGTAATGCTTTTCTTTAATAAAATGTGTGTTGTGCTAGTAGTGTTGGTAAACAAAAGGGATTTTGAAAACAATTATCCACAGCTTGAAAGGATTACTTTTGCACTTGAAGAGAAGAGGGGCTTTGCTTCTGTTCTATATTAGCACATTTATAAGATGCTGAACTGTAATGCGAGATTGCCTGGTTTCATAAATATGCACTATTAGAAGGGCATAAACAAACAACGAGTTTCCTTAGAAGATCTTTAACACAAAAGTAACATAATCAGTAGAATATTTTCTCCAGTGTACATGTATATACTGGAGAGGAAGCTCACCCTTTGTGTTTACTGATGCCCTCCATTCTCCCAAGGCAAGATTGGATTAAGCTAGGAACAAAGAGGCCAGTACTACCAGAGATGAGAAAACGATGCAAGGGGAATAATAGTGGCACAATGATACCAGCTTTTTAAAAAAACCAGGTATCCTACCAGTCAAAAGAAAACTTTGAAGGCAGCTAATAGCGCAGTCCTATACCTGACACGGGTGGCGCTGTGGGTTAAACCACAGAGCCTAGGGCTTGCTGATCAGAAGGTCGGCGGTTCAAATCCCCGCAACGGGGTGAGCTCCCGTTGCTCGGTCCCTGCTCCTGCCAACCTAGCAGTTTGAAAGCACGTCAAAGTGCAAGTAGATAAATAGGTACCGCTCCGGCGGGAAGGTAAACGGTGTTTCCTTGCGCTGCTCTGGTTCGCCAGAAGTAGCTTAGTCATGCTGGGCACATGACCCGGGAAGCTGTACGCCGGCTCCCTCGGCCAGTAAAGCGAGATGAGCGCCGCAACCCCAGAGTCGGCCACGACTGGACCTAACGGTCCGGGGTCCCTTTACCTTTACCTTTATACCTGACTACTCAGAAGTAAGTTCCATTGAGTTCAGTGGGAATTACTCCCATGTAAGTGGGTATAGGATTGCAGCCCAAGTGGCCAAAATTATTTATGCAAGCCAGGGAAATGAGCAGCAGAATTGCAGGCAGTTGCAGACTCCGTGTAAATAAGTGCAAATAAGGCACATTTACAGGTTTCCTTGTTAACACAATTGCAGCTTCACATGTTTTGGGGGTCATGGTAAAAACCTTAACGAAAACTCACTGTGTTATAGCAGCAGGAGGAGGAGAGAAGGCAGTGTCAGAAGTTAAAACGAAAGGGGTTGAAAATAAAACTGCAGTCTGGTGCTGATGCATACATTCATTGTAGAATGAATATATTGGTCATCCTATTTTTTTTTAAAAAAAGGATACCATACCTAAGCGGGAAAAGGCAGCTAAAACAGTCAAGAGGTGAAGCATTCTTGTTAGGAAAAATAACATTTCTAACTAAGAGAATATGATAGTTTTCAAATTATAAATGGCATGGAAATTATAAATTACAAATTATAAATGGCAAGGTAAACGGTGTTTCCTTGCGCTGCTCTGGTTCGCCAGAAGTAGCTTAGTCATGCTGGCCACATGACCCGGAAGCTGTACGCCGGCTCCCTCGGCCAGTAAAGCGAGATGAGCACCGCAACCCCAGAGTCGGCCACGACTAGACCTAATGGTCAGGGGTCCCTTTACCTTACCTATACCCACCTGGGAGTAAGCCCCATTGAACACTGTGGGACTTCCTTCTGAGTAGGCATGCACAGGATTGCTCTGCAAGTTTAACCCAGCAGGTCAGTTGTTCCTGGAAGCGACAGGGTGTGTTCCCTTCACATTGGAATACTACCTTTGTTTCAAGTTGATCCCTATATTGTTAAGAGTTCATTAAATAAGGATGAATAAATTCCTCCCTCCCAGAGTGAGAATGAAGCAGGGGTTGTTTCCAAGGGTTATGCCTGGTATCTTCAGATGTGGATGGGTGGTTGGGGCAGGGTAGTGCCCTTAGCATACCTCTGTGGGGATTGGACATAATTTGGACTGTAAGGCTGGATGAATACCATTTATTCATGTGGGGCATATCATTAATTGTCGTCAGCTCTGACCAAGTTAGAGATGTTTTAGTAGTTTCTTTTTTAAAAAAAGGGTATGTACTGAATATTTTCTAATTTGAACATTCACTTCAAAAGTAGCACATTTTATTATTTATTATTTATTTGATGCCGTTGAATACTGAAAAATTACCTTGCCAAACATTCATATGATTTTCAAGTTGCTCGATGCTCTTTTGTTCCCCTGGCTTCTGCTTCTCTGCACAATTTTCTTCTCATTCCCCACCTCCCTCACTGTGCTTGGCCTTATTTGCCCCTCACGCTGCAGTCCTTTCAGCTCAGAGGTAATGCACTCTCTCACCAGGTCCTACCTGCTAATAGGTGGGCAGCCACATTCTGAACCAGTTCAAGTTTCCAAACAACCTTCAAAAGCTATGTCCTGTAGAATATTTTGCAGAAATTCAGCCTGGACATTACCATGGCGTTCATTAGTGGCAAGGTCATCATTCTCCAGGAGCAGCCATGGCTAGCTTTCCAAGCTAAGTTGGGGAAAAGCATTCCTGACTGACTCCCTTTTGGGATTTAAGGAGCACAGCTGGGTATAGGAGCAACCCAAGACTGTTCAGCTGATCCAGGGATCAGTGCTCACTTGTTTAGAACAGAATAGCCACCAACTGTGTCAATCAGACCTTCTCACCAACAGCATCTCTCTCTAGTCTGGACTGGTCTTAAGTTTATTCATCCTAATCAAGCCCATTACTAACCCCAGAACCGTGGTTGCCTCACCTGGTTCCACTGAAAAGTAAGGATAAAACTGCGTCATTCACACACCAGGGATATTTTACCTCAGGTATCATCTCGGTCGTTTCCCACAGGTTTTTAAATCACACTTGCAGCATAGCGTGTGAAGTCTTTCACCTATGTACTTCGTCAGTGGGCACGTTTACAATATTACCCATGAGATGTCCGGCTAATACATTACTTCTGTGGTATGGTAGTTTTGTTCATTGAAGAACTACAAGGGAAGAAAGCTTTGCATGTAGTTCTTGTGGATCAGGAGCAGAGATGGCAGCAATCCAATTTTAGGCCTAGAAGGAACTATTTTATTCCTATGATAAAAGACTAATATTCCTTAGGCATATATTGTTTGGATTGTGCACCTTGGAATATATAGTGTTTTAGAGTAGGCTGCACTGAATTTTTTTTCTGCCATAGAAGTGCATCTGCAGCAATGGGATCTATTTCTGTTTGTAATTTAAAAGTGTTATAATTGTGCAAAAAAAAATGTGGCCTAGATCCCATATTTCTATATCACTGTAAAAAAAAATCTCATTGAAATAAATGATTGATTGATTGACTGACTGATTGATTTATGGCAGCGGGTGGCCCCAGACTTCAGAGTGGCTGAGGACAGAGGATTTTCACCTACCAATCATTCTGAGTCATGGCACGCTCAGCAAACCCTCTCCCAGAATCAAGAAACCAGAATCTATTCCCAAACCCAGGTATTCTGGCTGTCAGCTGACCAGTCTTGAATTGTGATTTTTTTTTTAATTTAAGTACTTATTTATTTATTTATTCTAAAATTTAAATGCCACCAACAATGCCTCACATAGTGTCTAACAAATAAATTATTAACACAATTAAAACGTTAAATGATGTTGAATGCATACCTAGATTTGCATCTGAAAGAGCACTGAAGAGTTTATTTAAATATTAGTATGAACCCGAGTGCAAATGCAGAAAGCATTGTGTAGAATATTTTTTAACATCATTTGCAACACTGGCCAATTTTTTTTCACCTCCTGCATGTGGGCAGTGGCATTTTCCACTCTCATGCTATTGTTTACTGACAGTGAGGCAAATGTAACTATAAAGGAAGACAGTACAAAAAGAGGGTGGGATAGATCCTTTTTCTAAGAAATCCATCCATGTTATTTGTGTATATCTGTATTCTGAAATTTCCTCATAACTCAATGCTTTGTTAGTTAGCAGAGAAAATTCTTTTAGTCAAGCATTTTGTTTTGTGAACTAGAATTTTTCCCCTTTTCATAATATTGTATGAATAGAAAGCTTACTTGTCTAATTTGATCCTCGAGACATACAATAAAGTATGACATACAATAAATAGTGACTTGCGTGCCAAGGCCCCATGAACCGCAGTTCCCCAGTTAATAAACACACCAACACGAGTACCGGTATTTAGGTTTATGAGCTCAAATAGGCCACAACTTTATTGGTTACAGATGTGAGCGGTTTGGCTTAGGCATTGGGTGAAGCCAGGCTATATCTCAACTCCCACCTGTCTGCAGGGAGTCCATCTAAGGTTAAACCACCAATAGGGGGAGCCCTATTGCTTACATCAAAGAGGGGCACCCCGAGGGTCCCCATTGGGGTCGTGACATGGCCCCAGCCCACGTCTAGACAGGTAGGATCCACACACCCCAATCCCTTTAACAGGATACCCTTAATGAAGAAAGGCAGGCGAAAGCTATAACCTCCCCTCCAAAGGCTTACCCAATGCCTAATCTCACAAAGTTGTGACAATAGCTACAAGGTAGGCGAAAACCAAATGGCTGGTGCCAATTTGCCAAGTGGAAAAAATTTATACCCAGCCCCAACAATATGGCAGCCAACATTTGTCCATAGCAAGATTGTGTCAGAGCAAAGCATGAAGAGAGAGTGGGTGGGTTGGGAGATCCGGCGAAAGGGTGAGAGAGGAGGGCCCCCTGGCCGTGGCGTGGTTAAATTTTCATGGCCACGCCCCTATCAATGCTGATTGGCTAGTGGGGCCACAGTGGGTGGCCCCACCCAGTGCCAGTCACACGGCCAGGATGGCACAAGGGGGCCGTCAACTTCACACACCCCATGCTGGATCACTGCAGGCCCCTTGGGTGCCCAGCCGCAACACTGCCCACACTATTAGCAGGGATGTGGCAAATAGAACTGGAAGTGTACTCCCTTGTCTCTCAAGACAGACTTATTATTATTATTATTATTATTATTATTATTATTATTATTATTATTTACTTATACCCCGCTCATCTGGCCTGGCATCCCCAGTCACTCTGGGCAGTTCCCAACAGAATATTAAAAACACCATAAAACATCAAACATTAAAAACTTCCCTAAACAGGGCTGCCTTCAGATGCCTTCTAAAAGTCAGAGAGTTGTTAATTTCCTTGACATCTGATGGCAGGGCGTTCCACAGGGCGGGCGCCACCACCGAGAAGGCCCTCTACAGGATGCCAACAACTGTAGTATTTGTCACCTCAGGTACTCTTGTCTTCTTCAAGCATTCAGTTAGAATGCATGGCAGCAACATGTGATCAGGACTAGTCTGAAAGGAGCTTACTTGTACATAGATATTTACAAACAGGAAGACCCTGGTCAGTTTTGAGGAACCTGCAGCTCCCTGTCATCCCTGATCATTGTCCATTCTGGGCACTGGAACACTTCAGTGTCAAGCAGGCAGCCAGGTTTCAAAAGTAGACCATGGCTACTCTCTTTGAGTTTCTCAACCAAGAGTCAAACCTAATGCCAGCCCTTATTTAGCTCTGGTCTGGCTGATGTGACACAGTACTCCACTTTGGCTATTAGCTTCAATGCAGGTGGAAGGGACACATTTTACAATGCAGCAAAGATCCAACTAGCAGCCAGAGAGCTGCCGTAGGACTGCAAGGAATAAGGGGCCAGATCCTGCTCCCAGAGTCCCTGGTTAGAGTCTCCTAGCATCTTACAGAAAAGCTGCAGGTACTTTTTTTTATGTAGCTGGCCTTTGCAAATAACAACAACACACACAATATTAAAGAAAAGTAAAACCACTGGGTTTCCTCCCCAAAAAACTAAATTCTCTTGCTTCCAGTTAGTCCTGCTAATTAGTACTTTGTTTTTAATAGAAGTTGCAAGTCTGATTTATTTTATTCATTATGAGACACATTCAGCCCTCACCAAAGAATGCTTCCATTGATTTGGCTGTAATGAGAACAGCTCTCAGTGGTTTTGTGTTAAATTATCAGATGTAAAGTCTGCATCACAGTGTACATAATGTATTCAGAATGGAACAATGCCAGAAGTGCACTATGAACACTTTTTCTGCTGCAGCAAAGATATATATTTTTCAGTAAAAAGAGCATTCATTGTGTATTGATATGCCTTTTAAATTTTTAGAGATATGAATCCTATATTTCTATCGTCATTTCACGATAGTTAATTATTTTCTTTGTTTGCTAGGGCTATATTGTAATATAGCAATTTTAATCATCTTGTATCATAACTCGGCAGGGGAGAAGTATGTAGTTAGCCTGCTTTCATCTTCAGCATCCAGTTCTTGTAAATCAGCCTCTGCAATGGTGACACCAACATTAAGCAGAACAGACCCTGATTTGTCTCTAAACATACAGCTCAGTAGGCAGAATATCACAAAGCTTGCAATGCAAATAACTGGTTGAAACCAATACCGGTATATTCAGAATAGCAAGTGTGAGTAACTACACAAATACCAACTCTGCGTGACTGCACATTTGAAAAGTGTATCTAGAAATTGATAACCTCAGTTTTTGCAGACAGTGCTTTCTTGGGGCAGAGGTCGATTTAGGGGAGAGCAACCGGTTCACCCACACTGGACTCCAAGCCAAGAGGGCGTTGCAGGGAGCACTACAACAGTGACTTTGAGTGAGAGGCGAGGGGGCCTGAATTTTGGCGCCACACAGGGTGCCACTGAAATTCAAAAGCTCCAACTCGGTCATGGTTTGGGATTCCTTTAAAAAAAATGTTCCACATTGAATAATATAAGGGAAATATTCTGTAGGTCTTCATTCTGAAAATCCAATTCACTCAGACCATGTTAGCCTAAATCCCAGTCCTTCAGTTTAACTAGATTATGATTTAGGCTGATCATCTCTCTAAAATTTTCTACCTGAACATTAAAACATAGCATAAGCAATTACTCATTTGTCTTTCCGAGTGATATTTCTGCCAGCCTCCTTGAATCTTTTATTCTGATGACAACACTACAAAAGAATCTTTAAAACTGATACACTATACTGTCACTTTTTGAACATTTATCACAACTTAAAAGATTTACAGTGCAAAACTGGAGACTTCCTTTTGTGTCTTCTGTGTGCCATTTATTGGACTAAACCTGGTTTCACCTGCACCAGGTGAATTAAAAAGTTATGCCATACTGTGGGTGGCCAACCCTGTAGGGTGACTGCCCTAGTTTCACTGAGAGTGGAAACTTGGGGCCCAACTAGAGTGGGCTGTTTATGCCACAGTCAAACTTACAGAGTCCCACCTACCTTCCCAACACTGTTCTGCTGCCTAACTAGGTTGCTGCAGTGTTGAGAAAGGAGCTGCATATATAGTAAAGATCAGCACACTAGGGTGGCATTTAATTAGACTTGTCACTTATCAAAAACCATGTGAATTGCATTATCTATGGACAGCTTCATCGCTTAATAATTGCACCATTTACTTACATATTCCATTGAGCCGTCACAGATGAAACATCAGAAGCAGGATTTTCATACCCTCACTGTGACACAGTGCTTTCCAGTGGAGTTGGGTCACACATTAAGTTGTGAGTCATCAGGTGCTGGGTGACGAGGAAGTGATGCTCATACTGTCGTGAATTAGCCCTGTGTCTTGCTTTCACATACCAATTTAGTATGGGTGCCCTTAAAAACAGAATAGGTTCTCATTGTGATTATGGGTAGAATCCACAAAAGGCTCCTGGCATACAGATCTCATTGAAGTCCTTTTCCTGGAGACAGGTTTTACGGATTGTCCCAAATGTGAGTCAACACACAAATGTTGACAGTATAAAGGAGTGGGTGATCTGGCCTAGTGACATTTCTTTCTGCTTTGAATGCAAAATCACTAATCAAGGGCTCTTTCACAAACAAACTCCGGAAAATTCAAGCCTAATAATTATGTCTATTTATTTTTCTTATCTTAACACAGCATAGCATATTATCTTCAGAATGAACATTTAAATGAGTAAGGTAAATCTAAGCTACAAGTGTGTTTTAAGGCTGCTTTTAAAAAAAATACAACTACCAAAAATTGTATTATTTAAAGACCTCCAGATGTAGTGAACATTTTCTAATTCACTTGCATAATCTCCAGTGGCTTCTATACATTTCTGAAAGCTACATCATTTATTCTGCCTGCTTACATGCAGATTTAGGACCACAACAAATTTCAGGGAGCTTTTCACAGCTTTAGTTATTAAAAGGTCCTATCTTTGCAGACAGTAGTGTAGCTTTTGATCTTTCTGTAAAGAAAGACAGACAATTCTCTGTACAGCACAGCACCTCAGTCTGAGTAATTGACTGACAACCTTCCTTTTGAAGTTCGTTATTTAACTAAGTCTCAAAACTTGCTCCAGGCAAGAGAGAGAGAGAGAGTCAGAGGTTTCTGAAGGGCTTGTGTAGGTCAAGGCTGCTCTAACTTTCTAGTCCATTCAGAAGTACAGTGCCTTTGGAGAAGATTTCTAATGTTTCTCAGCCAGTACCTTCAAATTACGATGGTTCCTTCATAGCCCACCAGCTCAAACCTTTCCAAAGGTTTCACAGTACAAATAACATCTTGCACCACAATGCTTCCCCCTCTGGGCAAATGGTGAATTTTGTATGGTCTACACTGACTCACAGTACTTCTCCAAGGTTTCAGCCAGGAGTCTTTCCCAGGAGTTGGAAAGCCAGGAGATGCAGAGGGCTAGCTTGTGCTCACCCCTTTGTATCTCACGAAAATGGGTCACACAAGTGAATCCTCAATATGCCCTTATGCCCCAACCATTGTAAAAGCTTTTGCATGTAATGGATCTGTGAGCCAGCCCCAGGTACAAAAGCAGAACTGCTGCCACAGCCCTTAGCTGGCACAAGGCTGCGCCCACAGTAGGAGCAGAGGAGATATCTTGTATTGCCATTCAAGTCGTACTCTTAAGCTCAGACGTGAAGTTGCATTCCTGTCATGATATCATTTCCAGCTCCCTTTGCTGATATTCCCCTACCACGGTACAATAAAGCCAGGCATAATGCCTAGTTATTTCCTGCTCTTAAGGGAAATTAAACAAAGTGACCAGTGCATGTAGCTGGAGAACATGAATTCTGCCAGAACCATCTGAGTGAGTCAATGATAAGCTGCTAGTTTCAGTTCTTTCATATTCAGTGTAATCTAGTTACACACTTGTTCAAGAAATAGCTCTGGGAATAATGGCTTATTGGTTTTCTTGCTCCCCATTTGGGGGAGGGGGGGGAGCCGGCTGCTGTTACCTGAATACAGATATAGAAGTTTTTTTTGTGATCCTGTTTTTATGGCTGCTGCTTTAGTTCATTTAATCAGAGGTGAATCAACTAAAATTTTAATCACAGATTAAACTTGTGCCCTTGAATTAAACAGTGGGGAGGTGGACTTGTACACACCTGAACAGGCTACACAAAAACACACGCTCTCTCTTTTTTGTGTACCAAGATTAATAATAAAAAGGGCTTTCCTTCCAAAAATGAGTGATAATCAGATTAATAAACAAAGGCTATCTTACACTTAACAGAAATGGGACTTTGTTCTCTAGATACTCAAAATATGCGCCTGTGCCATTGCACACTTATTAAACTTGCATTAACTCACCCTCTAGCTTTAATTTAGTTAATTGGTTAATCAACTAAAACATATCTAACTAGCTGACAGCCCTGCTTTGTTCCCTCTGACGTAGAATAGAATTTAAATTTTATTAGGCGCATCTGTGACAGTTGCTATACAGTGTGGTGTAGTGGTTAAGAGCGGTAGTCTCGTAATCTGGGGAACCGGGTTCGCTTCCCCGCTCCTCCACATGCAGCTGCTGGGTGACCTTGGGCCAGTCACACTTCTTTGAAGTCTCTCAGCCCCACTCACCTCACAGAGTGTTTGTTGTGGGGGAGGAAGGAAAGGAGAATGTTAGCCGCTTTGAGACTCCTGAAGGGGAGTGAAAGGCGGGATATCAAATCCAAACTCTTCTTCTTCTATACCATTAAATGAAATCCTTTCACTACTTGCTCAGAATGCCAAGTGTACACTTGAAATGTCAAGGTGCCCTCAATTCCTCTGTGGAAAATGACATAGGGGTTGCAGAGGTCCGTGAAAACCCTTCTTCCTCCAGCTGGAGCCTCTGCTAGATCAAAGTTCCTAGAAAGAGAAAAGAGCCCTTCTGTTCTCAGTAGGTCCATCTTTACCCCAACCCTGGTCATCTCTATATGCGATAAGCTGCTCTCAGTCTATGCCTAATATTCATAGCTTCCATACATAGCATAATCCCACATTTGGAACCTTGAAAAAGAACTGGACCAAGTTCACTTAGCTGTAACACATTATTATTATTATTATTATTATTATTATTATTATTATTATTATTATTATTACAGTCTTTACATTCCTCCAGTGTCTATATTTCCTCTCTTGTTCATAGTTCTAAACTCCTCAAAGAGATTGTACTTCCATAGTGCTTTTCTTGTGCAAGGTACATTATAATCATTTTCTTGTCCTTCTATGAGATATTTCCCTTCTCCCATTTTATCAATGGGGAACAAAGTGATACAGGCTTTCTCAGGACCACCTAAGGACATGATAACTGAAAGTTATTTTTTGGGATAGATTTCATTCCTTTGGAGCCTGTAAAAATACGTTGCATCATACCACCATAAGCTGACCAGAAAGTGATGGAAGTATAATTTGCTCTCAGCACGCCGCCTCTCTCAAATCTCTCCCAAGATCTCTCTCAAATGCTGCGGCTAGCCATAATTTCATATTTACACCTACCTAGAATTAGTAGCTACAACGCTAAATCTTGAACACTACCTGTGAAGAGGAAAGTTTATGAAGTTCTCAGTCAACACATTATGTTACATCCTGGACAGTCCATCACTGAGGTTATCATTGAGGTGACTGTGGCTACCTTGAGGTTACTGAGGCTGTTCCCTGTATCCATGGAAAGCTCAGTTACAGCCTTTCCTCCTCCTCTCTGGGTCTGTTGCCCATGAGATTAAGCGCAGAAATACCAGATCCATATGAGTATAACTTGAATTCAGGCTGTTTTCCACAGACACTAAAGCATTTTACTACACAACGGAAGTCTTGGATGGAGTCACTTTAGTTTTATAGTTCTAGTTCAACTTGGATTGTGTGGGTCAATTTCAGGGGATGGTGTACGGTCATGTGTTTGGGCAGGAAGAAGTGAGGTATAATTATATCATTTTTCAATGCTTGTTTGTTTTATTTCTCTTGCCTTGATTAAAGCCTTCCTCCACCTACTAGCGTTATCTAGGTTAGACCTGCTTGTGCATGTTCATTGCTTCAATCTCTCCTTTGCGGTGCAATGTAGGGAAAGCAGGAAAGGGGCAGTCACTAGGTGTGGTTATATCTCAGGTACATCTACATCTAAGATATATTTTTTTAACCACAAAAATGCTCTTTTTTGCCATTTAACCTTCAGTATATCCAAGAAAAAGCCTTTGACATTAGCAGTGAACCCTCCCACTCTGAAATCTCGTATACCTTCCTCAAAACCTGAAGTAACCCCATTTTCATAACATCCTAACAGCTTCTAGTCACGGTATACTTTGCTGAAACTGTGGCAATTTGCTGTAATGACTGTAGTTGTACTTCTGGCATGCCCAATAATTTCTTTGGATGCCAACCCCATAAACAATACATCACAGCATAGTTTGCACCATGCAATTCCCCTGCATGTTATGTCTAATCGTAATTCCGCAATTACACTAAATTTGCACACTCCTCCGAGCCACATTTTCTCCCAGAAAAGACTTGAAACAGGTCACAAGGTTCCACAACGCTCTGAGTGGGTTTACAAGCCACCTGCATGAAATGAACTATTTTGAAAAATGCCTACATGATTTGATGGCGGTGCTTTTATAGGGCTTATTATTTAGTTCCCTGTATAACATCAACAATATGAATAATGAGGCCTGTTATGTCTGAGGTTCTGTCCTTCATGCTTTGTCTCACACACTGCTCCCTGTTCTTACAGCTCTGTTATTCATTAGATTAGGTCTTGTCATCCTTGCATTCACAACACAGGAAATCAATAATTAATTATGGATAGGTAAAGCAATGCCTGACTTGCTTTTGAGACCTCCGTAGACACACATTAGAAATAAATTATCGGGTATTGCTCTCTAGAAGTTTTCACTTAATTGACTTGCCATAAGTAACTGCATTCAGAGCAGGGTGCTGCCCTCCATCAAGCCCTGGTCTCCCCTTGGCATCCTGAACAGTACTGTGCTCAACAGCTGGTGGCTAAAGGCTAATCTTATATTGACCTGAATTCTGTATATGCCCTGCAGCCCATCTCAGTTATCAATCTCTTGACAGCTTGCTGCATTGGTCAGTGCTGACTTGCCCATAACCACAGTCTCTACAGCAAAGGTGGAGAACCTATGGGTCTACCCCAGATGTTCCTGTGCTCCATCAGCTCCAGCCATCATGTCCATTGGTCAGGGATTATTATTGCACTGACCTACCAGGTGGTCTCTAATCATGTTGTCTTTATCTTTCATCCTTGTCCCTAAAACACAAGCATACAAACCGAAGCCCATTCTCTTCACACCTTGCAAGGTCATTCTTAGCCATCCAAATCCTAAGGAGCTTGGCTTTGCGATTGACTTGTGTTGGATTGTTGATT